ATATATATATATGTATATAGGGTTCAGGGATTTGAAATTAGGGTATAGGGTTTAGAGTTTAGGGTTCAGTGAGGGACCCTTTGTACCTGCAGTCCCCATGTCAATAACACCATCTGAGGCACTGACTCGCGGGATCCCTACAACTGCCCCTTACCAAGCATTCTTTCGTTTTTGAAAAGGACGTGGATGGCACCCCCCAGATCCAAGTGCCTCTAGGATAGACGTGGGTGTGAAAAACCCACAAGAAGTCGGATCCTTCAAGTTGTATGCCGAGGTTCTCAATTTCTCGGGGCCATTGCTGTAGGTCCACAAAAATTGCATTTAAGAGCCCCAATTAACTAAAGTTCATTTTGAGAACCCTCACCTGGCCACAGGCGTTGCCCAAGCGCAGCAATCCCCTGGCCCGGGTGGGAGGAGGAGCGCGGCGTGGTCTCTGCCAGCGCAAAGACCTGGGAGGTACCGCAAGAACATCCCTACTTACTGGTGGGGGTTCCCATGTGCATTCGTGATCCCCAGAAGAATTTATTTGTGAAACTTTGACTTGGCTGCCTTCAATATTCTAATTAATAATAGTAGTGGAATCATGATGATTGTTATCATTATCCGTACTATTTGTACAAGTATACAGTCCTGGCAGAACAATCCTGACATTATCTGCTCCTGTCCAGCCCATTCTTCTGTCCAACATTTCCCTGCAGTACAAGTTCACAGGCAGTAGTCCCTTTCCATGTTGTTTTCCATTGTCCCAATATACGATAATACAATATACTAGACTATTATATACCATAATATACTACAATATATTATAATACACCAGACTATACTTATAATATATTATACTACACCATAATATACTAAAATCTACGATAATCTATTATGATATACTTTAATTGCAACTTTGCATCGCCAGGACGGGGCAACCTCCTCCAGGCCACCATATTTGTGGAGTAGCATTGTTGTTATGCAGGGGTAATATAGGGGGGGCTTATTTGGGGAGAATGGACATACATAGTTAGGGGTTATATGGCTTCTGGTGAGAGGATATAGTTCTTTGGGAATTTTGGTGGGTGGACATACTTGGCATCCAGTTTGGGGACCATAAACTAGAATCCTGCCGCTCGAGGAGGGGGAACGAAGACAACCTGGAGGTAAGCGGTTTAGGGTTTAGGGTTTTAGGGTTTAGGGTCTGTTCCCGCAATTCCACTGCTTTGCTCATAGGCTAAAGGGTACCCCGCAAAATCCCACTTTCACGTTCCACTGGGTTCTTGATCCGGGCATGCATTTCCTCGCGCTGGTTTTGGGCGGATCGGGCGGGGTGGATCTCACTGAAAAGTTGTACTCATATGAAACAAGAATCATAGTAATCTTTGCAGTAGCCCCTACAACCCGTTCCCCCTACCCCAGTCATTTTCTATGCTTCTATGCCTAGACTCTAAACTAGATGGTAGTTTCCATTCTTTCTCCATTATTCCTCCTCCCCTTTGTATCCCTGAAGGAGTATATCCCATGTAAACCATAGTCTAAACTCCTTAAGAGGGGGTTATATAGGGGATTATAGTGGGGAGTATTAAGGGGGATACCAGGAGTTTAGACTATATCCCATATGAGCTACAGTCTAAACTCCGTAAAGGAGGTTATATAGGGGCTTATATAGGGGACTACCATAGGGGATATTAAGGGGGATACTAGGAGTTTAGACAGTAGCTCATATAACTTAGGAAGGGCTTCTTCGTGTCAGGGCTCTGGAGGAGACTTCCTGGGTGGCGGCATGGCAGGCAGGGGAGAGACGAAGAAGATTTCGGTGTCTTCTTACTGGTTTTAGTAGGGCATGGGGGAATAAAGTCCATAGGGATTATATAAGGAATATAGGGATCATATAAGGAATATATTCCTTTATTCCCCACTAACCACCGGTAAGTCTTGGGTAAGTTTGGGGTTGTGGGGCCCTTTCAGGGTCTACAGTGCAGATTAGAAGGGCTTAGCACACATAGGGAACGAATCCTCCATTAGCTCCTTCAGCCCATGCACTTTTGGGCCCTTCAGCAGAATTCATTGTAGCTCATGTGAAGCCCTTGGATCCTCCAAGCTAGGTCAATGTTGACTATAGTATTTGAACATTGTTATACTAGTAACATGCAAGCCCAGAAGGATCCTCATCCTAACAGGGAACAAGAAAGACATGGGCCTAAACCCTGATCCCTAAACCCTATAAATCGGGGATCAAAAAAATCCCTATAAATCCTCAACCCTAACTTCTCCAACCCCTTAACCCTAAACCCTAATACCCTAATACCCTAAACCCTGACACCACTAAGCCATGGTGAGGCTTAGGCCTCCCTGGCTCACGAGCAGTGGCCTCAGAACCGGTAAAAGCAAGCGCAAGCTGTTTAGGGTTCACGGTTGAGGGTTTTTGGGCTTAGGGTTCAGGGTTTAGGGGTATTAGGATTTGGGGTTTAGGGGTATTAGGGTTTAGGTTTAGGGTTCGAGTTTCAGGGTCAAAGCTCAGTTTAGGGCCTGGAAATTCGAGTCCCACTGAAGTAGATTGAATATGGTGGTATATGGAGATTTTATGGTTGCGGGGAAGTCCATATTCTTGACGTTGAACCTGCTTAGCTGCTCTAGCCTCAGCTGTCTTGGATTCCGCGGTTTTGCAAGCGAGCACTGCCGAAGACGCACTTGCATGCAGGATGGGGTAAGAGGCTGAGGGGCTTTCAAAGCACCATCAGCCAAACAAGATCAGTGAATGCAGCACGCCAACTCCATAGAGCATTTTCGACGTTGTTCCCATAACTGCTGGCGTGTGGAAACTAGCATAGGTCAGGTCGATTTTTGGGGGAGTGTATTTGTTGCGGTCCCGATGGTGTGTGCAGGAGACTTCAGCGCTCACACAGATTACTGCTAAAGCAAAGCGCAATTCTGATTTGCCACGCTACGTGGCAACAGCTAGATACATGCAAATCTGCCTGCAGATCTAGGCTGAATCCCGATGAATGAATGCCGCTCCTGTGTCATTTTGGAGGGCTGGGTGTGTGCATGGAAGTAGGATGGGAATAGTCAACGATGGACAGTTCGCAAGCAACCCTCGTTCCAAACTCCAAGCAATGGAACTCCCCTCGCAAACTGAGCACCTCGCGGTAGAAGCTCACTAAGGATGTTGGTTCTGGTGGCGACGGGAGCTGAGCACCACCAGTTTCAAGAAAAGAGTCATTTCCGAGGATGGGGGCCCCAAAGCTGCTCCCATTTGAATGAGCAACTCCAAAAGGGGACCGACTTCAGGAAGCCACTGCGTGTCCATCATGTCTTGTCCGAAAGCATTCGCAAAAGCCTACCGCTGTAGTCCCACCGGTGCGGCTGCACATAGCCAAGGAGCAAGTTGAAACAGCAGGCGATTGCTTCCAATGCCTCGTTGCTTAGGCGTTGTCGTCGCTGGCAGCCTTGCGCCCCAAGGCCAAAGCTAGGCGGGACAAGTTAGTGAGGATTTTCTGAAGGTTGCCCTCACAGAATCCTCGCAGGCACCCCCCAAATATTTTGAAGTTGCTAGGGCGTCCTTAGGGCCCTAGGGTCCCTGGTAGGGTAACCCTGTTCTTATTAGAAGCGGGCTGGAGTAAGAGGGCAAGGGCATCCCAGCGGATGCCTTAAGCCGAATCAGCAACGCCAGCGGGGTACTTTGGGCCATCTTCAAGTATGTGACAGTATGTGACCTATTGATGTACATCACCAAGCATAAGCAGCAGAGGATACTCACCGCATACCATAATTAGTTTAGTAGTGGTTAAGATAGTTTCTCAAAGCAAGCCCGTTGGTCCTTAAGAAGTGGGAACGAAATACTGCTACTTCTCGCATACCCCTGGGGTCTTAGAGGGTACCCCTATCTTAACACCACACAGGCCTTGATGTGTAAGTCGTGCATCTTAAATATCCCTCCACGACATAAGTTGTCCAACTGTTGCTTGGGATCCGACCTTAAAAGCCTTGAAGCTTAGTTGGGATTTTCTCCAAGTTACCTGAACCCCCTAGAAATTTATCAAGGTCTTGTTGGCACATCTCTTCTGAGAAGCTACCAGAGTCGTCCAGATAAATTCTGTTTGAGTAGCATTTCGAACAAAGATACTCTGGCGATCCTATTCTCCTTTTGGATGTTCTACTTTGCAGGAAGAAGTAATCTTGATTGCTGCACGGATCTGAAAACGTAGTACATCTACCCTAAGCCCTTAACCCTTAACCCCTATACCCATATTAACTCCTCCAGGCCCTAAGACTCTAAACACGTTATGTATACCTTAAGCCCTAAGCGTACAGCCCTATAAAGCCCGTAAACCATGTAAACCCCAGATTCTAATGTAATCCCTGTGGAACCCTGCTGAAACCTGAGCCCCTAAACCCCACTCTTGGGTGTGCATCTCATGTGGATTGTCCATAGTGACTGCTCGCACACAAACCCCTCAAATCCCCCTCACCCCTAAACCCTAAACCAAACCCCCAAAGCACCACGAAAGGCCGAAGATCGGGTCCTTGCCTGGGGGCCCCATCGACTGGAGTCAGAAGGAGGATTTCAAATGAGCGGCATTTAGTTGGGGATGCGTCGAGGCATGCTAAGCAGGGGTATGTAGGGGTTGCATGCTGATCGAAAGGGTTCAAAAAATTCAGTGGAAGTGAAATGGACTCTGGAATTACTTGGGGTAGTGTGCAATAGTGTGCTGATACCACTTCTGCCGGACGTTTCGTGTGCATGATCGACCGAGGTCCGTGAATGATATTACAGTCCCCAATGTAGAGTAAGATTAGGTTGTATGTGCTTTTTGTGTATAGTATTGTACAGAAACAAACCCAGTTATGGGGTCTACAGGGGGAGTACAAAGGGTTTCTACGAAGAATATATCACATGGATTGTGCAGGCAGGGGGTATTTATGGTTTGGGGATCTTACCGCAATCATGGAGAAGCGAACGGAAAAGGAACAGGACATTGAAACGGAAACTGGGGTTCTAGCAGGCAAAAACCCAAGCAAAAATCAAATGACATCCTATGAGTCTCTCCTTACTTCTGTTGTAGTAGGCAACATTAGTGTTGCTCGAAATGCCTACCTGGATTTGGCACAGTTGTCTAAGAAGGTCATCACTCTTCTACATGTTGACTGAATGAGGGCTTGCATCCCTGTATCAGTCTGCATAGAAGGGGCCACAACACTCCTGAACATCCATTCCGCCTTTCCCTTCTAAGCACCAGGGAGTCCTAGGGCTAATGTAGAATAAACCCCCACTTTTAAGGGCTTCAATTTTAGGATCCTATCATAATCCCTATTAAGGGGAGGGGTTTATTAATCACGGGTCTACATTAGGGCTGGGATTTAGGTGTTGGGGTTTAGGGAAGTTTTGCTCCAGCCCCCCTTCTGCATTCTAAACAACTAGGTTCAGAACGGAGCCATACTGTAACTGTGACGATGTCTCGTTGCAAAGCTTGTAATGCTTAGCATCTTTACTTGTATTTGAACTTCGCCGCAGCTTCCTGAACATGTGCTGGCCATCCTGCCTCAGTTTTTCCACGCGTGCAATTCAGAATTGACCTGCGGGTCCATGCACATGTATTGTGCAAACTCTAGACTCCTCGATTGCGCAGCTAGAAAGATATGCTGCCATCATTGGACCAGGGATCACTCTGCTGCATGCTGCACTCCTGGGCAGTTTGGCACAGATGCTACAGCCAATCTGTTGTGTTTTGCAGCACTGCAGCACTTTCCTTCCACGCAAAAGTGAAAGACATGTCTTGTGAACTGCAAAATGCTGAAATGGATCAAAGTCAAGCTGTGCTAGAGCTTCCCAGAAGGCCGATCTCTAACCAGTACTGTACCAGAGTCACGAGTTTGCCGCACAATATGGAAGGCCAAACAGCTGCCTTAATTTTTCTGACTGCTCGAAGACCGTAGTATGACATCTTCCCAAAAGCAACTCCCTTGCTAAGTGATGTAGGGGCCTAGATCATTTCCCAACATGATGGTCCTATGGCCTGTACAATGAAGGTATGTGGTACCTCAAATATAGACCTCAAGATATTAGTTATGATTGAGGCTTCCACATTCCTGTACAATCCCAACATACACCTATATTCCATTGCGTGTTCCATGTCATTTTTTCATCGGGTTGGCATTTATTTACGCGTCTAAACCCTAAGCCCTAAACCCTAAACCATGGGTCTACTAAATGGCCTCATGCCAAGCGGGCCTATGAGCTGCTCGAGCCTCAAGAATGTCAGCCACAATAACTCTACCGGGTTGGCCCTTGGGACATCTATGTCTATCCATGAGCACATAAGAATATAGGTATATGCATGTGTGAATATACGCATGACAAAATGTGTATCTATTTATGTACATATATATATGTGTGTGTATATTTTCATTTGGCCGTATTGCTTCTAAAGCGGTTTCTACATCTCAGCGTTTTTGAATGGGTCCCAAAGGCCAACCCATTCTGGAGGACAGAACTCCACGTTCAATGCAAAGTTGGACATTACAGTGGATGAACGTCTGAGGTTGTGGTGGTAGTGGCATTACGACTGATGCTACTACTTCTATCCCTACTAACGCCACGAATACTGCTAGTTAATTCTACTTGAACTGTGGATTGGCCTTCGAAGGGAGGGGCCCGCCTGTCGCGTCAGTTCTTGCTTCCTTGTAGACTTGCGACGTCCGCGACGGGAAATCCTTGTAACCATTGCCATCTCCTGGGGAGTTTCGTACTTCTTGCTGAAGGAAGACACAAGCATCCACAATCATTCAAAAATTCTGCGTGCCTCATTCCGTTAGGAGACCAGGAACAATCGGGGGCGGGGGGGTCATATTAGGGGAAGACATCAATGACTTGGTTTGACTCTTGCCTTTGCCTTCTGGGGGGAGGTCATACAAGTTCTCCATGCGTAGCGTTTTGTTTTGGATGATCCTGAGGGTATGCTGCCAAACTCACGGTTCAGGTGCGGTTAGGATGCTCTTATTCTACAAGCTCACCTTGGGCTGCTATGTGCAAAATCGCAATTTATCCATGGCCATAGGGGCTTCCAACAGTGGAGTCGTTCTGTATACCCGCAAGTCTGATAGTCCTGGCCACAAGGATCCCTGCTTCTAGGCAACCCCATAGAGCAGGGCTGACGATTCAGGGCCTGTTTAGACTGAGGCAAGAAGAGAGCCAGAGGAAGGACCGCTGGACGGTCTGAATGTTGTTCTTTTGTAGCCGTGTCTTCAATAAAGATCTCCCGCTATGCCCCAACAAGTAAAGGTGGCCCTGCCTATAAGATTCCGCGAGAGGGATTCCGCACTTGGTCGGAAACAAAATTGTAGACTTGGTTCTTTGCTGAAGATGAACCGTAGCGGCGAGAGACATGAGTGAATTCGTGTTGGACTACTTCTGTCTTGTTTTTTGTATCTTCAAATCGGTGCCGCTCAAATATGTTGTGGGTTGCCACCTTGGGTTTGCACACACACCTTGCTTCAAAAAATCAACCAATCCTTAGTTTTGATCTCCAGGTGGGACGACTGAGTGAATGAAGTTAAAACCTTGGCTTATGGAAAGCAAACTGTGTCCACAATTCTTACCACCATTCAACCAAAAACTGATACAGCAGCTAAGCTGACCCATGAAGCGGAGGGACAGCCCGAGAACTACACGCAATGGTAGCAAGAAGACGAAAGTCCCTACGCCCAATCTCCCCTTCTGGAACACTCCCGCGCTGCAACAGGAGGCGAGGTCTGCTTTGCGGGCTTGCTTCTGGATGTTTGCTCGGTCGGCATCCCATACATCGGACTTCATGCGGAGGGCGGGGCGTTAAGCACATTATCTTGCGGGAAATCTTCAGAGCAACTAGGCCTGAGCAGCAGTTTTTTTTTTTGAGGAGAAGGCATGCAGCACGGCAATGTTTCGCTGCCTTGGCCTTGGGCAATGTTGGGTTGACTAACTAAGCGTGAGCCTGGATTTGAGCAACCTCCCCAGACTTTGCCAGGCACAAGGGGCGCACATCGTAAAATGCTTCAAGAGCAGTACAGCGCCGTTGTAGCTTCCCTTCCATCTTCTTTTCCAATGTAACCCCACAGTATAGTCCACTCCCTTAGAAAAACTCTATGCAACCAGAGTCCTTAAAACCCTAAACTCCTTACATAACCCCCCCATATAGTTATAGTTGTTATATTACCCTAAACCCTAAATCCTAAACCCTAAACCCTTAACCCTAAACCCTAAATTTCCTCTGCCTTCCCTCAGCCAGCTGCGGCTCAAAGCTGACAAGATGAAGAGACCCAGTGCAGCCAAAGCAGCCAGGGTGCCTCGGATAGTAAGAGGTTTGGGGGGTTTAGTTTTTAGGGGTTTAGGGTTTTGGGGTGTAGGGTTTAGGGGTTTAGGGGTTAGGGGTGAGGGGTTTGGGAAAGTTCAGGGTTTGAGATAAACCTGACTGATAGGAAGGATAGAAACAGCCGGCAATATAAACTACAATAACGATGGTGCTTTTAACGGTTCTAGTGCTCTTAGTGGGAGTGAAGGAAGGTGTTGGATCGAAGCCGTGACAGCTTACAACCTGCATCCAAGGTCATGACGCTCTACGAAAGATGCTCGGCTTAAAGCGTTTGTTGCATCAAAACGCTTCCGCAGACTCACCACTTCCATGCAGAGGTTGCTAGCAGCATTTGCACCCGATTCCGCATCAGGATTCAAAGACGCACTTCATGAAAGATCTCAAGCGGCCAGCAAGGACAGCTGTAAGCGCACAACTGGGCGTGTGTTGCATGCTGGAGCGCAGCAGCCAAGCGTTCCTTGATATGGATGTTCTGTCATATGTCCCTGTGCGGACAAGAACCTCGGCTTGCCCCTCTCAGAATCTCAGCATGAAGCGAAAGCAGTAGGCTTCTTGATGCAGACGGATCTAGAACCCTCCTCAGCATTTCCCTCACAGTCTGTACAATATTTGATAGCATGATCAAGGTACCATGATCAGAGTTTGCAAGCGGAAAGCCAGAATGATCTACACCCGAAACTCTAAACGCGAATCCGTGCCCTCGAATCCTGCAACTCAAAACCCTCCTGAAGCACCAGCCATCGGCTTTCCAGGAGGAGGAGCCTGCCGCGGCGTTGGCGCCATTTGGCTATCTTACAAGCGCGTGGTGCGGGTAGGTATGTATGCCTCTATGCATGCATGCCTATGTACATGTTTACACTTTGTATCACGTACTCTAGCATGGTTGCAGGAGATTTGCTCCAGCTTTGCAGCTTTAGCTTTAGTTGCTCATTCTGATAGCTGCTGTCCTTCATGTTTTCTTGTCACCACGAAATCCAGCATGAGCGTAAGTATCTAAACCACAAGAAAGATGGTAACACGCTACGCGTGAGGTCATGCAGGAATCCGTCCATCAAGCATAGCATTGGTTTTTTGCTATCTAACGCACTTGGCAAGTGCACAGGGGTGTAGGATTTGGTGGTTGCGCGGCACGGGCTGTACTTCTAGCATCCCAAAAGCCCTCCAGAGACCTTAATCCAATGTCAGGGCCACTTAGAGGTTTAGAGTTTAGGCTTCAGGGTTTCGGGT